CTATTTTCACTTTCACACGAGAAAATTCGGATCGGCTGAACGGAGGTCATTGTCTGAATTGGTTAATGAGACTCATGTTTTGGTTTGTGATTGTTATAAAAGCCAATATTGAACCCACGAGGTCAATAGGGAAAGCACAGGGCTCAGTCAGATAATACGTATATAAGGCGTTTGTTATACTTGGTTTACGGATCTTCCTGCCGAAATTGTAAAAAATACTGGTGGTATTCTTTCTGATTTAAATATGAAGTGAAGAGTTTGAAATGTCAACCAAGATAGCCTGTTAGCAAATAAGCTATCAGCATGTATATTTAAATGTTTTAGATAAGTAATGAGACACGAAAGGCCAGACAGATTATGAGGAAAAAACATATGTAAAAGTTATGCTTCCAAGGTCAGATACATGTCGGAGAAGATGACGTCTCAGCGGTAGATATGCAGTTATTACCAGCAAGAGAAGAGTGAAAAGGGGGAACAAAATCAAATACGTATTGGGTGGTTAATGACGGTGGGGTATAGCTTGATGGTTACAGCGTTCGCTTGTCACGCCGAAGAACTGGGTTCAGTTCCGAAAACGAGTACAAAGTGTGCAGCCCATTCCTGGGGATATAAATAGAATATTGCGTCGTAAAACCTTACTCACTCACTCGCTCATTCAGTAATACAAAAGTGAGTGAGTGAGTTTGGTTTTACACCGCTTTTAGCAATATTCCAGCAAAATCATGGCGCTGGACACCAGAAATACGTTTCACACATTGTACCCATGTGGGGAATCGAACCCGGGTCTTTGGCGTGACAAGCGAACGCTGTAACCACTAGGCTACCCGACTGCCCTCAGTAATACAAAAGAAAACCCCAAAGAGTATATATTAATAAATATAACTATCAGTTTTAATTCAGCAATAGTTATTTTTTATTACTATTTATGTTAACCATCACTTGGTAACCTTAACTTGAAAACCAAACGGCTCAAAACAGAGGCCTAACGTTTCATAAGCATCTCCAAGAACTGGGTTCTGTCTAATACTGACCTCATATCTAGTATTAAATACTGAAAGATAAGAGGTGGTGGACTAATGAATAACACATGTCAAAAAGATGTTGGCGACCTTAACAATACCGTTATCAGAAAGTACATGTAAATATTGGTAGAGTCTCACAGATCACCAACACTGTTGGCATGGGAGCCAGAATACCGTTGACGTGTTTTCTTAGTACAGCCTGATAACCGAATTCTGGTTACAATGTTGTACTAAGCTCGGTTTGTGCAACGGGGCCAAGATTTAGGAAATATATACAACCAGTGTTTGGTGTCCAATACGGGACGTTTCGTTACAACGGTGACTGACCCATAAATGTGGAATTGTAGATATTGTGACCCAGATTTGTTGTGTTTGGGAAAGTGGTGGGCGGGGGTCTCTATCACCAGAAATTGCTTGTATGAGTGAGTGAATAATGCACGGGAATCTTTCTACTGTTTGAGCGTGATATACGTACACCCTTGGAGCTAGTCTTGGGTTTGAATCCAAAATGTTGTGGGTTACGACACCGTTTTGTGTTTGTGTTACATAGCAAACAAGGTCAATAGGTTTCTATAAATCTTCATTAATCAAAATACCTAATTGTTTTTACATGTTTCAAAAGTGTTTCGGAATTATATGGCTCTTTAATGTTTGCAGCAAACAGTCGATATGTCCCCTCTGATCATACTTATGATAACTTATATAGTGAAAAGGAGCCCCAGTTAAGTCTAGACTTGCTTGATTATATGGATTTTGCGATGCTGGAAAGTAATTCGGTTAAGGGACTGTCAGAAGATTACATTTAGGCCTTTTATTCCAGAAAGGGCGGAGCAAAGGGGATATTCAATGGTTCAGGGACTTTGAAACAGGGTATTAAGGTGTAGCATTTGTAGATGTTGCAATAAGTTTTTAGACCCGTGGAATGCCGCTGCCGATCGAATCTAGCCCTACATAGGTGCTGTCAACGTGGTTGGAATTAATAAACGAATTTAAAAGGTGAGTTTTCGCAGTCTTGGGTGATCCATGATTTTGGCTTGGATTTGCGGAGGTAGCTGTTTTCGGTGAGTCGTGGCGTATAACTTTTGAAATAATGATCCGATTGTGACCATTTATAGCTCATTTTGTAGGGAAATCATCTCGTTTTTGATCCGCAGGCCTCGACAGGGCCTTAAAAATAGTTTACGTGGTGAAATCTAACTTAGATTGAGGAGGGGGTGGTTCCGTCGTTACATCCCTTTCCTTTTATATAGTACTAGGATAGGGTCTGTATACCTATATGTCTTTCTAACGCTGTTTCTAAGCGTGACACGCCCCTGTGTTGTAAATTGTTCTAAAAGGTGTAATCAATTAAACATTCCCATATCAATATCACTGTTATTGCTTGAGACATATCTAATGTCAAGGCACCCTCGACGTCACACTTCGACATTCAGACAACCGGATGTGATATTGCGTAACCTTCACAGTTCACATCCGGTTGTGACATTGCGTAACGTTCACCCGGTTGTGAATATGGGGCATGTGCTATGCTGGTTGAAGCACAAGTGACAACCAGATGTTGTTTGACTTGATGAAGTGATTTCTGGGTGTAAACAGTAGCACTTATAATTCAATGGTTAATGGTGTTTATATAATCACACATGAAAGTCATCAAATTTGGGGTAACAATATTGAATGTACCATCCTGCAGATTACCCAAAAATGTTGATGATACTTTATGATTACAATGGAAAAATATTCTAATATAGGTCTTTATTACATTAAGATTAAGCTATTCACATACAAAGAAGTCTATCCGTCATCTATGAATGTGAGGAAATATACGACGATGTTTGCGATATTCTACTGTTCATAGAAATGGTAGATATATAGGCGTCGAAAGGGAAAAAGAATCTGTAAATTGTGTAATTGAAACCTAATTGAAGACGAATATAATTTTTGTCTTTATATGTCCAGCTTACCACTATTTGAGAACCAATCTATTACTTTGAACAACATAAGATCTGTACATTATAACCTTTGGTAAACTGTTCCAACCTACCGCACTTACAACGATTGTGCATGTACATCGTTTTTGTATTTTACAGTATTTACTTTATCAAATGTCAACTGCCTAAATTATATGTATGATTGTACTACAGGCCTGTGGCCTTTTCAGTACAGAAATATAGATATTGATCAAAATTGATTGATTGATTTGACTTTTTTTCCTAAACATTAAACAAATCGTGTAAGACCAGTTTTATAATTATGGAGATTCTATATACATGTTGATAAAATACCTTTCTATAGAATTGCCTTGAAACCCCCTCCAAAAAACAAAAACAAAAACCCACCCCAAAATCCCCCAACCAAACCCGATGATGTCCATTTCATAATTTGATGATAGAGTAAGGTAGAACATTAGGAATTGAAGGAAACAAGCACGATGTTCATTTTCTACCCGCCCGACTCTCGAATCAGTATGTCAATTTAGTCCGTTCTTACAAGAATTAGGAATATTATCCTCCTCACGGTGTAAATGCCATGTATTATCATCAAGATCTCCGGGGTGGTGGGGTAGCCTAGTGGTTAAAGCGCCGCTCGTCACGCCGAAGACCCGGGTTCGATTCCCCGTATGGGCACAATGAATGTAGCCCATTTCTGGTGTCCCCCGCCGTAATATTGCTGAAATATTGCTAAAAGCGGCGTTAAACTAAACTCACTCACTCAAGATATCCACGTATAATAAATTGTTCAGTAAATGTGTTTTCTGAGAATGAAGAAACGTTCCAAATGTCTTCTCGTTTAAGTCTCGTTATGGCGCTCCTTGTCAACGTGAATAATAGACCGGTGACCCGTCTATTGAATAAACTTCAGATCTGTATGTAGGCAATGACCTGGTTGCACATTAGGTTCCACATACGCTACCACCTGGCTCACAATCATTTCCAAATAGACGATAGCCCAGCAGTTGCTTGTATAGTGTAGTTTATAGACCTATTACTCTGAATCTTATAAACGTTCTTTTGTCTGTTGACGAGAAACGTGGAACCTTGTTCCTTTCAAGCTGGATTCGGAGAATCGTTGCGCTGAACAAAAAATCATTTTGTTTACATCAGAACAATGGTAACAGGGCTCAAATGCGTTACGGAAGCTAACTCACAGTGACAGCAGTACGTGCTCAAACTTTCGCTTTGCAAATCTTAGAAAACCGTGTTGACTAACCTAGTGATGAACGTGATCTGGGGCACGTTCACAAAGTGATAGTAGCGCTGCGACTAGCGTAAGTTTATATTAAAATATGGGAGTTGCGATCACCTTAGCGCTACGATCGTTTTGTGAAATATATCTCAGGCCTTTGCTAAGATTTACTGAGAGAAACAAATAACGGAACACCACTTCATCGTCCCCTTATTTACTCCCAGATTGTCATGTTTTCACCCACCGTTCAATACAAAACGTGCGCAGTACCTGATAAAGAATAATGGAACAATTGATATGTTCCTTTATTTCTTCCCCTCAGTATATAAACATTCAGTGCTATCCGACGTACCTATGTTAATATTTGTACTGCAACACTCGATCTACCTATTCTCTGAATGCACATTCACTCTGTTTTTGTAGATAAAATATCGTTTTAAATCAGAAACATATATTGACCACGATGAAAAAATGTTTATGCTTTGTCTCAAGTATGACAACCGCTAGGTAACGACCCCAAATCCCCGATTTCGTTATATGTTGTTTATTATTACATTCATTACGATTTATTACAATTTGGCTTGATAAACAAACCAGGTAAATTAAAATTACCGATGCTATAAAAAGGTACCTAAATGTAAACAAACTGTGAATACACACCTACAAACATTCTAAACACAGCAAAATAGCAACAAACAACAGGAACACAAAAAATGGAACTTAGACTGAGACTTAGTCGAAATTAAATGTTCAATAATTACAAACTTGTATGTTGACAAGTTTTTCCAATGTTACCTTCACTGTATTCGGGCATGGCTGTGTCTGTTTCCGTGGGCGGCTGTTGTCGACGATATCTGCCGTGTGTTGACCTGGAATATTCAGGCAATGGTATTATCTGCAATACTCGGTCACGTGGTGTGGTCACATGTACGCAGTATGTAATATACTAGTTGCTAATATGTCAATAATATCTGTTCCTGAGGACATGATATGTCACGGTACTACATTTCCCTGAAAATCCGCGTCGTTTCCTTTAACAAGTGGCGCAGTGTGTTGCCATGAATTGTGTCCTGCTTTGTGATATGGGATTGGGTTGGGTTGTTGTTGATGATTTACAAGAATTGTGTCCGATTTAGTAGAATTACAAAATGGACTGTGTTGATCGATTGTTGATGATGAATGGGTTTACAAGAAATGTGTCCGATATTGGGAATGTGGACTGGGTTGATCGCTTGTTGTTGATAATGGATGGGTTTACAAGAATGGTGTCCGATATTGGGAATGTGGACTGGGTTGATCGCTTCTTGTTGATGATGGATGGGTTTACAAGAAAGGTGTCCGATATTGGGAAAGTGGACTGGGTTGATCGCTTGTTGATGATAGATGGATGAGTTTACAAGAATGGTGTCCGATATTGGGAAAGTGGACTGGGTTGATCGCTTGTTGATGATAGATGGATGAGTTTACAAGAATGGTGTCCGATATTGGGAAAGTGGACTGGGTTGATCGCTTGTTGATGATAGATGGATGAGTTTACAAGAATGGTGTCCGATATTGGGAAAGTGGACTGGGTTGATCGCTTGTTGATGATAGATGGATGAGTTTACAAGAATGGTGTCCGATATTGGGAAAGTGGACTGGGTTGATCGCTTGTTGATGATAGATGGATGAGTTTACAAGAATGGTGTCCGATATTGGGAAAGTGGACTGGGTTGATCTCTTGTTGTTGATGATAGATGGATAGGTTTACAGGAATGGTGTCCATATTGGGAAAGTGGACTGGGTTGATTGCTTGTTGTTGTTGATGATGAATGGGTTTACAAGAATGGTGTCCGATATTGGGAAAGTGGACTGGGTTGATCGCTTGTTGGTGATAGGTGGATGAGTTTACAAGAATGGCGTCCGATATTGGGAAAGTGGACTGGGTTGATCGCTTGTTGATGATAGATGGATGAGTTTACAAGAATGGCGTCCGATATTGGGAAAGTGGACTGGGTTGATCGCTTGTTGGTGATAGGTGGATGTGTTTACAAGAATGGCGTCCGATATTGGGAAAGTGGACTGGGTTGATGTTGTTGATGAATGGGTTTACAAGAATGGTGTCCGATATTGGGAAAGTGGACTGGGTTGATCGCTTGTTGTTGTTGATGAATGGGTTTACAAGAATGGTGTCCGATATTGGGAAAGTGGACTGGGTTGATCGCTTGTTGTTGTTGATGAATGGGTTTACAAGAATGGTGTCCGATATTGGGAAAGTGGACTGGGTTGATCGCTTGTTGTTGTTGATGAATGGGTTTACAAGAATGATGTCCGATATTGGGAAAGTGGACTGGGTTGATCGCTTGTATGTTTATGGATGGATGTCTATACAAGGACTGTGCCCGATATTGGGACAAGTGGTTGTGATCGGAAGGGTTGTTGTTGTTGTTAATGATTTTGTGGTTGTTGTTAGTGTTTCTGTTGGTTTTGGTGGATGAGTTTACTTCAACTGTGTCCTCGACTGGGACAGGGGGTTGTAGTTGATGAATGTGTTCAGAGAAACTGCGAAAAACAGATTAGCAATTGAGCACCTGTTGCAGTATTATTTTTTCAAAATTTACACTACGCTGTACATCTTCTGTTAATTACAGGGCCATATTGAGCACGTGCTGCAAACAATCTGGTGATTACTATACTGATATTCAGCACGACAGATCCAATTATCTGTATGACAAGTGAACCATGATATACGGTTCTCACATATTTTTATTTATTTATTTCCGATTTTCTGCTGTATCTGTGTTCCTTCCTCAAAACATATCTCTGAAGATTTATGAAATCTACATTCTGCTACTGTGAGTGAGTGAGTTTAGTTTTTATGTCGTTTTAGCAACAGTCCGGCAATATCACTTCGGGGTACACCAGAAATGGGCTTCACACATTGTACTCATGTGGGGAATCAAACTCGGGCCTTCAGCGTAACGAGCGAACGCTTTAACCACTAGGCTACCCTACCGCCCTTGTGTTATTGTGAACAGAAGATCCGAGAAGCCTGTACATTCCTCTAATTTGTTTTTGTTTCTCTGTTCCCATTACCAACTATTGTAGCTCTCAGAAAATTCAGGGGGTGGTGGGGTAGCCTAGTGGTTAAAGCGTTGGCTCGTCACGCCGAAGACCCGGGTTCGAATCCCCACATGGGCACAATGTGTGAAGCCCATTTCTGGTGTCCCCCGCCATGATGTTGCTGGAATATTGCTAAAAGCGGCGTAAAACCAAACTCAGTCAGTCAGTCAGTCAAATTCAGGTTATCACGCGAGGGGTTTGGAAAGGTAAAACTCTTGTATTGCAAATGCCATTGTATTAGACAAAAGTAGTGGGCTAAATACACTTTGTTTATTTCTAATACATCGATCCGAAACATATCAGCTTCGTAAACTTTTACTGTGTAATGTCATTCTTGCATTCTGTCCTAAAGACCGGTATTTAATTATCACTAATCATCATCACATTGAAAGTTTACTACAAACAATGCTGATTGATATACTTTTTTTTAAAAGTAGGGGAACCTGAACTTTCAATTTGGATAGGAAGTATAAGCTTTAACAAACTTTTCAAAGACAGACATCTTATGAATGCACCACCATTTCTCTTTCTCACCACTCCTAAACACAACACATGGTTTGCACGTGCACAACGCAGTAGCCCATACACGTGCATGGGGTGTCATTCTTGATTTTGACGGTTTTCAAGAAGGTCCATAAATCACTGTAGACCATTAATTTTGACAATCATCTTGCATCACACAGTTATTAGTGTTTGTGTCTGACCGTGTTTTTTGGTATGCAATGGCAAATCGTACACATGCCAATTTCACGCCATACACCAATTATCTTTCAAGAGCAATTACTGTACAAACAACTATGGTCATAAGGAAGTGCAAGTAGTGATGCTCTCTCATAACATTCATTATTATCATATCAACATTGACTGACACCGATATATCTCCCAAGTTTTTTCAATCGTAAATTAAAAATGAAGATCCCCTACTATTTTTAAGAGTATATGTTAAGTGAGATGGCCAGCAAAATGTCGGTCAGTGGCTACAGGCAATATAAGCACAGGTGTGAGAAATAGCTTCCAAAGTTTGATAGCCAATCGGGCTTGCTATGCTTGAAAGTTACCAGCCCACAAAATAATTCTCTAGCCCGAAATTTGAATGTAGAAACTAAGCAAAAGATTACAAAAATAGATGAGAATAAGATTTTGTCGGTATGACATGGGTTTCATCATTAAGCTAGTAATATGATGAACATTTTTTATCAGGTCATAATCTTGCTTGACTTAAGAGTGTATTGTAACTTAACAAGTCGGGGAGAGTGATATATTTACAAAATGACCCCATGGAAATTCACTAGCCAGCCGGCCAATGACTGTGGAGATTTACTGGCTCGACTGGAGTTTTACTAGCCACGGGCCAGCGGGCAAGAACGATTATCTGTGGCTCGACAACTTCTTCATTGCAGTTGATGCGACGTTGCTGTGTAGATGCTAGCAACGTTAAGAAGCAAGTGATGATCCATAGAAAGTAGTTCCCGTTCACCAAACCAGCCTGTAATGCCACTCAAAGAAGTTACAGGCAATATAGTTCCAACTAATATGTTCTGTTCAGAAACTATACACCTCGGCAACAGTTTTTGCTTATGGGGTGGGTGAATAAAGCAGTCACAGGGCGGTGGGGTAGCCTAATGGTTAAAGCGTTCGCTCGTCACGCCCAAGACCCGGGTTTGATTTATCACATGTGCATGGCTACAATGTGTGAATTAAGAAATACACTTCGCTCTACCACCATGTATAGTGTAATAAAACACACTTTTGCCCTGAACTATTATAGTTAAAGCACGAGGACGCAAGCACAGGGCTAACTGGCGCGCTGTTCTATTGATGTGTCTGCCCCCCTACGTTAAGACGAACGTTACCAGAAAAAAAACAAAAGATAACAGTTTGATGACGGTTTACGTTCGGATTAAATATCTTCTCTGAATTATTTTTATTACATCTGTCATTAGCGTAAACCATATGGGGCAATATGAACGTTGCATTTCTACTACCAGCGTAAGTTTAGATCAGTACATCCAGAGGAAGTTGAGTAGTCAAGCGACATTCCACAATTGCATTGTGGGAATGTAAACATTACGAACGTTACCGTGTCGCTGAAAACTTGTGAGTCGAAATGACACATTTTAACCGTGGTAAAACATAAACGTAATGTTTCCACCAGTGATGTTAGCTGCGTGAAGCAACAGCAAACCAAGAAACTGGATGCAACGGTGTAGTTTACTGTAGGAGGCCGTACGAGGCGATGGCAACTTGTAAACATGATTTAGTTCCGAGTAGTAAATGTTCCGGCTCGGAATAAATGCCGTGAAATTGAGAATGGATGACACGAATAAAAATTCCGCACATATGGCAAATATTCCATCGAACAGGAACAAATACCGTAGGCCTAACCTATTCCAGTCACAATTGAATGCAAAATGGACTCATCCAACTTGTCAACTTGTTACATGTTGACTGTAACCTGGCTACTGACTGACTGTAACTTGGTTACATGTTGACTGTAACCTGGCTACTGACTGTAACTTGGTAACATGTTGACTGTAACCTGGCTACTGACTGACTGTAACTTGGTTACATGTTGACTGTAACCTGGCTACTGACTGACTGTAACTTGGTTACATATTGAATGTAACCTGACTACTGACTAACTGTAACTTGGTCACATAATGACTGTAACCTGGCTACTGACTGACTGTAACTTGGTTACATGTTGACTGTAACCTGGCTATTGACTGTAACTTGGTTACATGTTGACTGTAACCTGGCTACTGACTGTAACCTGATTAATGAAGGTAACT